TTCGCCAGAGAATCACCTGAGAATAGAAGTATAAGGGATTCCCCATCGGAATTACAGTTTTAGTAATAAATTTTACATCGGAGAATACAGAGTAATTGAATTCATTTTTTAATGTCTTAAGCATAGTTGAAAATACATTATTCTTAGTACCAATTTAATTTAATTACACTTTCAATTAATTTTTTTTCCAGAGAATTTATCAAATAATTATCGTTTTTTAAAGTTTTAAATAACCTCATCTTGAGATGACCTATATTATTTTTAAACTTGAAGTTTGAAGTACCATGCAATTCTGTATTGTTTCTGAATTGTTTCCTTTTCTTGCCAAATTAAATGTAATTTTTCTCCTCGAGGCATTTTATATAAAGCATTTTAAAACAATGAGCATTTTCATTCATAAAATTCTAGACTCAATAAATCATAATAATATTGCTTTTGAAATTAATAAATCAAGCGTTGATAATTAGCTCAAGTTAATTTATATCTTATCAAATCAACGAATCCCAATTAATCATTGTTGAATTCGCTCGTTCATATCTAAAAATTTTGCATAATTTAAGAAAATATATTAAAAAATATTAAATAGTCTAATAGATTTTGAATATAAAATTGGCATAGTAGTGATATGATAAAATGATGATAAGAATTATAAATATAAATTTTTTGGATTTGATAATATTACTAAAGTCTCCATTTTCAAACTATCTTCTGGCTATAAACTATATCCTTTTTTAAACTTTTCTTTATTAGCTATTTTCGCAATATTCGCAATCAATCTTTTATCAATCAAAAAAAATTTATTTTGCTTCAAGTGATATTTTCAAATGATAAATGATAATAAAAACAAACTATTAAAATTCATCATCGTACCAAATGAATTGTAATCGTTATTCGAAAATAATATTTATAATATACAACAATCATATACTATGGAGTGGATGCATCGAGTCATTATGTTGGCATTTATCAGGTTTCTCAAATGAGATCTTCAACTGTTCATTATTTACAGAGAGAATAACGATGAGGTTATTCGTTGTGATAATTTAACTGATAAATTGTAAGTGTTTTTTTTTATATAGATATATAAAAATTTCAGCTAAGATAATGAATAATTTACTAAAGTATTAAAAAAAAATAAGCAAAAAAAATATGTTCAAATAGTTAAATGATAAAAATAATCATTTATTTAATCAATTTTTATTTCTCTCTCTATTCTCCTCTTCGTTTTCCAGCAATTCTTATCATTACTTAGGATGATTAGGCTAATTCCATTGACTACAAGAGTAAGATATTTCCTCTCTCTCTTATAACTTATTTTGATCATTTCGAATTTTCTATATTCTGCAAATTTATGAGAAATTTTACAGGAAATATATGCCAATACGTTTTCTATACTTTCTATTCTCAAGCGAAATTCTAGCGAAAGATATTAGCAAAAACGGTTCATCTAATAATTCATTTTCTCAACTAAATAATTAATTAGTACATATTTGAACTACTGAATCATTAGAAATTTATTTTTATAGTAATAATTTTAAGAAAAAGAAAAAAAAACCTATTTTTTAAATCATTTTAATGATAAAATTATCACTTACTTTTACCGGTTTTATAAAAAATGCATATGCTATTGGTATAAAAGCAAATGAAGTAAGTTTTAGAACAGTTTTTGTATCAAAAATATCTCTCCAATTTTTTAATTCTGATATTATGCAACCTGCTTGTACACATATAAAATTATATGGTGCTAAACCTGAAATTTTTTTTTTTTTTTTTTCAATCCATAAAACGTTCATTTTAGTTTTATAGTTTTTGATTTAAGCTTTAAAAATACCTATAAATGCGGAGAATAAAAATATTGACACGGGAATATTTAGGAATGGAGCAACGATATTAAACATCCAACTAGGCGAAATTGGAAACATTCGAACAAATAATAAAAATGGCAATAAGTAATTTGAATTACTATCTATCTGAAAATTTTTTATAATAATTTTATATATTTATTTTAAATTTTCTATAAAAATGAAAACGCATATGACTATATTATGATCCAGGTTTTTATTCTTTGATAAAATCACCAGTTTTGGCTTGGTTAGGCAATTCTTTTTGTTAAGAAGTCACATGACGCTAGAAATAGAGGTGGATCGCCAACGCTACTACGATTTTTGAAGGAGAAGGTTTATTCTTATTGGAAGCAGAACACCAGTATAAGCGATTAGAAATTAGAGGAACAAGAACCACTGAGGATTCACTAAGCTATTTTGGGTTGGCCAAGTTCGAATCGCAGTCATTCTCGATAGCAATCACATTCCCACTAAATCAATAATCTTGAAATTCCAGTCAATCTGTTATTGCTCGTTATTTTTCAATAATAATGAAAAACTTCGAATATCTCATAAACATATTTTTTAAATAATATTCCAAAAGATTCACCATCATCGTATAATTGGCATAGAGCAATTAATTTTACGATGAAGAAAGAAAAATTTATGAAAAATTAGAAAGACAAAAAAGCGAACTGCAATAGAATTGCATGCATTTGCACCTAATTTTTCCATGAAATTCATTTCTATTAATCAACTAACCTTCTGTTGAAGATATGTTACTTTTTCGCCAAAGTAATATAAAACATATTCTCTTCCGAATAGTTGTGAAATTAAATAGCAAAATGTCGAGCCTATTGTTGATAAAACGCAAACTAATAAAAAACCCGTCCAAAATTCAAACAAAATGCCAGCGATTATATTCTAAAAATGAATCTCATCGGTGTTATACAAAAATTTTCACTATTTTTCATAATTAATTTTTTTGTTTTTTAAAACAAATAATTTTTCGATAATAAATTAGCTAAAAAAATGTGTGAATCACATAATTGATAATCTTCTGATAATCATAAATGATAATCAAACTAACCAGAAAGAATGAACCAGGAATCGCAAAAGTTTGCTTATAAATATAAGTTAATATAAAAAGTAGTACAATGTAATTATAATGATCCCTTTTATAATAACGCAATTTTTCTGTAAGTAATGTGAAATTGTCAAATTTCCCGGGCAATTCCCAACTGATTTCTAAAATGCAAAAAAATCCGCGATACGATAATGATATGATATAATATAATGATATGATATAATAATTAATCAGTATTAACTGAAGAATAATATTCACTTACTTTACTATCATTAGCAAGAATAATACCATTTTTTTTTAAAGAGCTCTCAACATTACTGGTTAGACTCGTTTCGCTGACTTGTCGTACAAAACAAATAAGCTAGAGAATCTTTTGGCGATAGATGTACAGGTGAGTCGCTAGCATCAACGTGATTTTTGGACAAGCTTATTCCTACAGAGAGTAGAACCTCACGATCAGTACTCCGAATTGAGCAACAACCTATTAAGCCATTCTATCCAACATTAGTACCATTTTCTCATAAATGTTTCATGAGAAATGATAAACTAGTAGTGTAAAAATAATTTTGAATTAAAAACATTCTAAAGAATGTTTAAATGATCTTTAAATTATTGCTTAATTAGTATTTTGTCGCAAAAGAAAATTAGAAAATTTTAACAAATTCTCATCGTATGGTCCTTAAAAATTTACAACAATAAAAATACGTATGTTACGTTTCTTTCCTCTTTCCAAATTCTATTCTTAGCTAAATTTTTTTAAAAAATCATAGTGTAATGAATGAGCGATTTTAAAAATATGCTTTATAAAGTGAATAATTTAATTTTATTTTTTTTCGATAAAATTATATAACCTCGAAGAAAGATTGATCCAGGTGCAGAATAAATCATTGTCCATAATGCTAAAGATGCAAACATAAATATAAGCGGTAATATTATCAATCGAGTCATATGAAATATTAATTCATGAATATTTAACAATTATTTCATGATCTTATTTCTTTCTTCTTCTTTTTTTTTTCAGATATCTGTAGTATATTGATAAGCTATATTGATAATGATAAATAAATGAAATTAATATTCTAAATTGCTCGTTTTGAAATCGAATCCACTTAAAAAGAAATATTAAATAAAAAATAAAAAAACGTCATGTTTCAATGAAAACATATCAAAAAAGAGTCAACAAATCATTTGTAAATTACACAACACTATTGACAATTTTATAAAAATAATGCCTTTCAAATTTCTTTGTTAAATATCAATCGTTTTATTGATAAATCCGTTGAGAAAGAAGGAAACGATTTCTTCAGATTTAGGTCAACTTTTTATCATTTCGCATGAGAATTTAATCGGAATTTAATTCATCATTTTGACCTAATATTAAATGCTTTAAATCAAATTTTATATAGTTTAAGATTCGTAAAAAAATTAGACTGTTGATTATGTCTTCTTCATCGTCATTAAACGCTAATTTTGATTGATTCTATTAAAATTTTTTTTCGAAGGAAGAAACTTATCATTTAGCGCGAGTTCGATGAAGTTGAAGACGAAATCTTCACGAAACGAAGCATCAGTTTTGATTTGATTTCTTGAAATTTTGATTGTTTCAAAAATCTTTTATAAAATTAATGTTAAATAATGCTTATATCCACTTATGATAATGATCGTTATCAGAAGCTATCGTTATCAATCAATTTTTTTTTTTTTAAATACAATATTTGAAATTTCATTGTTATTCAAAAAATAAAAAGATGAATAGTAAAAATTAATTGAAAAATAACGAGAAATCTATTTTGAGAGATGAAAAGAAAAAAATTAAAAAATTTAAAAATTTTTTACAAAAATTATATTCGAAAAATTGGAATATAAAAAAAAAAAACAAAATGAACAAATTTATTTGAAATATTAAAAACAACACAAATATAAATTTTTATAAAATAAATTTTCTATTCATTTATTCATTTAAATCTGTACGATTCATTGCATACAATAAAAAATAACATTTTTAAATAGCTAAAATAATAAAAAAGAAAAAGTGAAATCGGGTTTCGCTGGCGATTTGCCATAATTTGGCTTTAGTATTGTTTGCAATTTGCGATATTTATGGTTTCTTAACAGTTGGTCGAGAGCTCCTCTCTTCACCTACAATTCACGAAAAATGTTTGCAAATAAAACTTTTTTTTTAACTTTTATTATTCGTACTTCGACTTAAAACTCGAATAGAAATGAATAAATTCGATTCACTTGATTCATTAAAAGTCCAAATCCAAATGGCTAAAAGGTGTAGGGTGGGTGGGGAGGGGGGGGGGGGGGGGGGGGGGGGGGGGGGGGGGGGGGGGGGAGAGGAAAGAGGAGGTGAGGGATGGAGTGACGGTGGACGGGTTGACCTTACGATACCATCTTAATAGCCAATCAAGCGAATTGAACGAGAAATGGTGCGTTTTCGAAAATAAACGAAGTTACTATGGACTTTAGTTTGATCTGGAATAATAAAATGGTAAAGCAATTTTCATCTGTTTACTTTATTTACTTTCTTCGTAAATTGCAAATCACCAATTATCATTAAACTAATATTTTATTGAAAAATCGAGCGACGATTGTAAGGATAGAGTAGCAGCAATCGTACAGGCTAAACTTCAATTTATAACTTGTGATTTGCAATTTAAAAATTCTAATCTTGAAAAGACAGAAAAGAGCGAAAAGAGCGAAATAGACTGAATCAAAAATAATGCGCGCTAATCGTTTTTAAAGTTTTTTTTTCAAAAGATTTTCTTCTAAGAACTTATAACTAATGATAATTTGGTTAGTTTTACAACAACGATTAAAGTAAGATTCTTTCGATCTAATGATATACCTGAAAATAACCGCTTGAATCACCAATACATTCAAAAATGTCTATAGTTATCATTTAATACGAGAGTTTTGACAATAAATTCAAACAATTGGACTATTTCATCACAATTTATCTTCTTGCTAGCAAATTTAGCCGATTTCTGAAGTTTTGATAAGACGCATTTGGAACCAGTGCACATACAAGTACCCAGTACTTATCAACTGTTTCAGAGATACAATTAAAAGCCTTCAAGCGCTCCAATGTCTCATCTTAAATTTCAAATTGATGGTACTAGTTCATATTTATAATTCAACTCATAACTTGAAAATTGCAGTTTTAATTAGCTCACTTAATCGTTTCTTTTAGTGCCATTTAATTTGTCTTCTTCTAACAGTTGTCACCATTACTGATTAATTTAACTCTGCTAGCTGTAAAAACGTCTCTAAACGATTCGATCCGACGCTATCATTGACAGCAATGGAAATATTCATTTTTCCATCGAAATCCATGAATCCAATTCTAAATCCATGAATTGCTGATCTATTTATTTGTAATTCAAAATCTAATATTATACGACTTAACCATCATGTCGCAGTTTTATTCTCTATTTTTTCCACTTTTTCTTTCACCTACCATTCAAGCATAATTTTTTGCTATTAGCTAGTAAAAAAAAATTAAACAATATTAATGTGGTTTTTTTTTCTTATGAAATTTTACATAAATCAAAATTTAGTAATTTTTATACTTATTCAAATATACTTATTTATATAAAGTAATATTTATATTTGTATTTTTTTCTAAATGAAATCTTTGTTTATGAAATCGAATGACAATCAATGTGAGCTTTTATCATCATTAATAATCGTTAAAATGAATTTGATAGTGATAACAAAATTTTCTATCATAAAATAGTATTATCAAATTGAAGTTGAGTTGAAGTATACCGATCATTTGAAGCTTTATCTCGTTGCCGTCTATTTTTAAACCAATTTGATATCTAAAATTATTCTCTTCATGAGTCAAAATTTTCTCCGAATTTTGTGTTACAAATTGATAGTTAAATTAACATTTTAAAAATATATAAAATATATCTTATCATATTTCTCTTTTTATTTTTTCACTGTATTGAAGATAAAGCCTTATTAAGCTGTTTATTTCAAGTGATAAAAGCGTCATAGCTATAAATGAAATAAAAGCCTAAGGCATAGTTTCCACAAAAGAATATTTACCTGAACAATTTTTAAATTAGTGATTTTTGCAATTTCTTTCTTATCTTCTAATGTAGGATATTTATTTCGCTTATAATATTGCCGCAGTGCCTAAAATTTAAAAAAAAAGCAAGTATGTTTATTATTTTTGGCTAGGCTTGCTGGCACTTGCTTCATAAAAGTTAAGGAGTCACTTGGCGATAGAAATACAAGTGGGTCGACTGCAACACTTGCTATTTGGGTTTGGGTTTGGGTTTCTATTTGGGTTGGCAGATTTCATACTTGCTAGAAGTAGAGCACAGCGCTCGAGGCGATAATCTCAGCAACAACTACTCATCTATCTTTGCTTCCTATCACTTAAAATTACTTGGTACCATCTTATTTCGCTAATTTAATAAAACTTTAATAATGATTTAATCAGCGACTGATAAAAATTTTTTGATCAAAAATTCCATAATACAATATAAATTTTAAGTTCCACCAAGAAGGTTTACTGTGGAGTAGATAACCAACAATTTATGGCACCAAATTAATTGTTTGGTGCATAAATGCATAATTTTGCAGAAAAATTTTGAAAATTAATTTTTAAGAATAAAAACTATGAATAAAGAGAAGAAGAAAATTGACTTTTCGAGCATTTTCCTTGAAACTATAAATGGTCTCTTGGCCGTCCCATATTGACCTTGGCGGTGGATGCTTTTTGCGTAATCTATACTTTTCAACTGCGCCCAATTCTTTTTGCCGGCGTCGTTCATTCTAATAAGCGATTTATATTTATATAAAAAAAAGCTAAATATTTATCAAAAAATAAATGATTATCATATTAATTTATTATGATTTGAAATAAATTATTAAATTATAATTATATTAAATTTGAAAAAAAAAATTTGCTGTGAAATAATGAATTTTTGAAAATTTTTATTTTGAAAAAAAAAATAATTCTCGTATTTTTTAATTTTTTTAACAATGAATTTTTGAAAATTTTCTAAATTTGAAAAAAATAATACTTTTTTTTTAATTTTTGTCTATTCTTTTTAAGTTTTTTTTTCATAATTTTCTCTACTTTTTATTTCTTATTTTTATTTATTTATTGCCACATAAAAATTTTTCTTTTTTTCTGAATTTCAAATATATTTTATCATATAAATTTGATACTTCAGCATATCTAGCTTTATACCATAAATCTTGTAATTCCTCGTAAAATCTATGTTCGAATGTGTTGATCGATATCGCCTATAAGAAAAACACTAGTTCAATCCTTTAATGGTTTTTCTTTTTTAACTTTTTTCAGCGAATAGAAATATGGAAATAATTTTTTCATAACAATATCATTTAAAAATAATCAATAGATAATCAATGATAAAAAAAAATTACTTGAAAAAGTTCCTCATATCGCTGACTATGATAAAGTGTATACAAATAAGCCCGTAAAACTGAACTAGAACATCGAACGTGATAAAACATAATATTATGAATATCAGGCCGAAATAATTCTAATAGTTTATCACCATCTTTTGCTTGATACAATGTTTCGCAGATGCAATCGATCTAAAAACTAATCATATTTTCTTTCATATTACTTTTATCATTCTTTTTTTTTCTTATTAAGTTTGTTATCTTTTTATTAACAATTATCACATGGTTTATGCAATGTTTGACAATTTTTCAAAAAATATAAAAAAATTTGGCAAAACTTTTGCTCAATTCTTCAAATACTTAAAAAAAAATGTAAATGCATATTAAACAAATCATATTTCCTCAAAAAAAAAAATGAAATTCAAGATTAAACGGTTATTTAGGCTAATGCAAAATAATTTAATTGGCAGAAACATGGCATTATTCTAAAATCGACCACTAAAGGTCGATAAAATTTCGAAAAGATTATTGGAACCCGAGGGCTTATTGAGGAGTCGGTGGGCAAATTAGGTGCTTATTGTGCTTCTTTTTTTTTCAAATTTCTTTCAAATATTAAGAATAATAATGATAAAACATGAATTTCTCTAGTTAATTTTAACTTCTTTTATGAGTGTGAAATCTTCTGTAAAATTGTTCATCATTAAGAAATTCGGAAATAATTTTGTTAATCGACTGTAAATATAAAATTTAGGCAAATAACCTCCAAAAAGAGTATTTTTTTATAGATGAAAAAACAAAGTTTGAGAGTTCCCTTTCTAAAAAAGTTCTTAACTGACAAATTTTGACGAAAAATTTAAACAGCGAAATCGCCTTTGGGAAAGTTGTGATTTAAAACAAAGTTAATATAGCATAGGTCTTTACAGACGACAAATTCATATGCACGAAAATTTCAGTACTTACGAGTTATCCGATCCAAAGGTATAAGAGTTAGCGTAGGCTCATACATTTCTTTTCCCTTGTCCCGTTTCATTCCCATTCATTCTTCTCCGCTCTTTTATCTTTTCTATTCTTTCCTATTCGTGTATTAGTTCCTTGTCAGTGGTATACTCTATTAATAATAGATCTCCATATTCGTCCTAGTAGGTATACCATCACAAACAATTTATGGTCACAATTTCTTATATTTATAGAATCTTTCTCATGGCTGTAGCTTGTCCATCCAAAAAATATCAATGTGGATCGAACAATTAATTCACAAGTATGCTTTTACAAATATAAGAAATTTATGTTTTCTGGTAGAAAGAAGATTTATCCAATGGATCCTTTAATAAGATCTCATTGCATATTTCGCTGAATCTACGAATCTCTTCTTGAAATCGATGGATTCCTTTCTCCATAATTTTTATATGCATAAGACTTTTCACAAAAGCAGAATACGCAAAGGAGGACAATGAAAAAATAGCAATTTTTCGAAAAGTCGATGATTTATTAGTGAAAAATAATCATGAATCACGGGTAACACTAAGTTCTACGATTTATTACCCAAATTCGTAAATGAACCGAAATATTGGATCTTAGGTTAATGCGATTAGAGATTATTGCAAAAACAGCATTAAAGTGGAATTCAGGCTTGCTGAAAGAGGAAAAAAATATTTTATGAAAAAGTCAGTTCAAGTCAAAGAATTACTTGATCTGAAGAAAAGGGCGCTGGCAACCGAAATAGAAAAGATTCTCCATTATCCATCGAATATCAATTTTATAGCTTTTTTTTTACCTGGCACAATTCTTAGGAAGAATCATAAGATTAAGAAAATAAATCTGCATTGACCACAAATAGCTGAAAAAAAATGATAAAAATTAGCAATATGCAAACATGGAAATAAATAGATATGAAGCAAGTAGGCGATTGGCACTCACCATTTTTGGTTAGACTCGTTCCATTAGCTGTTAGAAGGATGAGAAAATCTTGCCGGAGAAATAATTGAGGATAGAAATAGGGATAGACCCTCAATGCGACCCGGAATTTTTTTAGTGGCCATGGTACTCCAACTGGTAATCTAAGCAAAAATCACTCGTCTTTTGTAAAATAAATAAAATCAAATAAAGTGAAAATGCAAACTTATGGTGTAAATTAATAAAATATAAATAAATATTGAAAAGATTAGAGTTTCGATTAAAAAGATTATAAAAATAAAATGGTACCGGAAAAATTCGACCTATCAACGAAAAAAAAAAAGCTATATGAGTAAGAATTAGTAACTAAAAAGCTATAAAAGGAATAAAAGGAGTAAGGAATAAAAGAATCATAAATGAATGCATTACAGAAAAAATTATAACGGCTATACCTGAAATTATTACGACTCGAATGAAGCCGGGTGGAGCTTATATTAGATTATTCAAGAAATTAAAAATGCCAAGCCTAGCTGATCTCGATGTGCAAACAAAGTTTCATCATTATCCAAAACAGTTATCCGATAAATATGAATTAATTCAGCAAATTGTTTAAAAATCCTAACAATAAATCTATATGAATATCAAATCTGTATGAAATCTATTCATTCTGTTAAGTATCGAAATTTTATATATGAATTTATGATTTCATGCTAAGAGATATTGAAAGTGATTGTGGAATGGCTACGAAGAGAAAGATCGGTACCATCATTTTGCAGCGATATTACTATTGCTAATTATTTAATACTAATTAAATTTTGATAATCTAAAAAAGGTTTAAGTTTACTGATAACGTTTTTAAAACTTCTATTTTATTAGTTTAAAAATTGACTATAGAAGAATAATAAGAATAATGAGAAAGCCTAAATAAGCCCAGTCTAGCAAATGAATTTTCAACAAATATTGCAGTAAAATTTTCAACTGGCATTAGCAATTGTATTTCATATGTCATGCAGATTTTTACACATGAAATTACTGGATTTGCCGAAACAATTTTAACAAATTACTTTACACATAATTTAATCGCACAGCCTAGAATTATGAAATAAACCATCCTACTGTCGTTTTACTAAAATTTTAACAAAATAATCACTAATCACTGTTCGATAAGAATGGAAGATAATTACTAATTATATGAGTACAATGAGTAATCCTCAATTTTTTTCAGAAAATTGAGTCAAATGAAAAATTTGGCTTTATTTTAAAATACGCTATGGGTTTTCACTTGGTATACTGTTAGGGAAAGCACTATGGATTAAATTACTATTCTTTGATATGGATAAAGGTGCTATAAAAAATGATTTGGATGACCATTTAATTTCACTAATTTCAGCAAGTGAATCTTTAGTAGAGCCAAAAGAAATTGATGAGTTCCACTAGAAAAACTGCGCCTAAGCAAAGCAAATAAAACAACGAAACAAATGAATAAATTTTTCCGCCTATTTTAAGCACTTTAATTTTGATTCCGTTAGTTGGCTGGCATTGTACAAATATATTAAGCGATGGTGTCTGATAATATAGCACATAATTTAATGACATATGACAAAATATAGTGATAGAACGCAGATGTTCAACAAATCTAGCTAATCCATTGTTCGAATTGTACAAATTAGCGATAATATCAGACAAACATTAAGAAATAACTGTATTAATATAACATTTGTTACATTTCCATTATATAAATTATTATGGTTTCAAAAATTTTTTCATTAAAAGTAGAGAATATTGTTGCTCACACAAATGTCCATTTTTTAAGAACGAACCCTCACTATTACTGGTTAAGCTTGCTCGGCTGGCTTCTTGTACTTAATAAATATGCGGGAGAGTTCCTAAGCGATAGAAATAGAGATGAATGGCCAATATCACTCGGATTTTTTGCATATTTTTACTACTGCCGGGAATAGAACCTCAGCATCGGCGATCGGCGACGATTTGAGAAGCAATCCACTGAACCATTTTATGCCCCAAAACAAATATTCATATTCATCTATATTAAAATTGTATCATAATGAAAGGTATCTAAAGAATATTTTTAACAGAAAAAATTTAAAAAATTTTATAATAGTGAATAAAAAAAGGTTACTGTAATAGTAGTATTCGGAAATGGATTTTAAGGCGTCACATAAAAATGCAAAATTAATTGGCTTTTTGGCCTTTTATAGGTGCATAGAATCAAATTTCATCTGTCAATCCTTCCAATTTCTTATATTATATACTGTAAAATTAATTATCATGATGCCACGAAGGAAATTTGAAGCTTTGCACTGATTTATTAGTAATAAAATCAATTTTTCGTTTCTATTTTAAGAAATAATTATTGATGAGAAAAACTAAAATATATAAAATTTTATAATTTTTTTTATTTTTACACAATTTTGATTTATATAACTGACTATAATTTGAAAATTATCGAACTGAATATAAATTATTTTTTTCATAATTTTTCTTTAAAACCACTTAAATTTTTATATATTTCAGTAAATTTTTATAATTTTTTATATAGAAAATGCTTTAATAATAATAAAATTATTAATAATAATAAAATTAATATATAATACATAATAATAGTAAATAATTAATATATAATAATAATAAAATTAATAAATTATTAATAATAATAAAATTTAATAATAAAATTTATTTTTTTAACGAGTTAATCGAATTGTTTAGAATTTTAAAAAAATTATTCTCTATTTTAAAGACAATAAGAATTAAGCGAATATAATCTTAAGTATTTTTATATATTAAAATATAAGAAATTTTAGAGATCAATGAAACTAATTTTAAGGGAATATTTTATATTTTTATCATTTTTATGCGCTTTTTTCTAGGAATTAACTTATAATTATAAAAATAGACTTTATTTTTATTGCAGAAAAATATTAATTATAATTGTCGAATCTTTTTTTTTCCTTTTTTTTTTACTTATTAAAACAATATTTTCTCAAAAAAATTTGATGACCGCATGACCACTTCTTTCTATAATTCCTCTCCAACTATATAATTATATTAAACAATAAAATGTCATATGCATCAATTTACAATGCAAAATTATTAATTCCATTGTTATAATGTGATTGTTTTAGATGTAAATAAAATCAAAATCATATATTTATTTACATAATTATTACTGTTGTTATTTGATATTTTATTAAAAATTTTTGAATAGAATCAATCAAATTGAATAGAAAAAATTTTTATTTCTCATAGAATATCTCTACGAATTATATAAATATTTTATTCAAAAATTGGCTTTATTTTTCAAAAAATAAATCAAATAAATATTTAAGTTAAATAATTTAAAAAAAATAAAAATTACTAGTAGAATTAAAAAGTTTCTTTGCATTTGCCGAATTACTCAAATAATGCCAAATTAAAGTAATTATTACTATTATTATTATTGTCGGTCTTCGTTATAACACATCAGTCAGTCATAACTGCTATTGCATAATCCTTTAAGTAAACTTCGGTACTTTTGTAGAACATAATAATTATCGTATTAATGAAGTACTTCATTAATATTATTTAACTAATTACGAACAACGTTCATTATAAAGTAGTTTGGAAATTTATAAAAATGTAGAAATATAAAAATAAAAATAAAATTATAGAAAATAGGTATGAATAAATAAATATAAATTATAAATATATATAAATTATATAATACAATTATATAATTATATTATATAACATATAAATTTTATATAAATATATAAAATCATTATATTTTAAATTATATTTATTATTACCATATAATTAATTTGAGCTATATTTGACGAAAAAAATACGATCTTATCATCTAATTTTTCAATTAATTATACTAAATCGTTTTAACGTTCTTATGAGTTCACGACCTATAAATATTGGTCCTTTAATTGAAACTTTTCGCAGATGATCGAGTTGAGTTGAATCATTTCTGGGGTCAAGTACCGTAGGTTCCATTCTTTTTCTGTGAAAAAAATTGTATCGTTAAAATTAATGATAATAGGAGTCCACCTATGTCGCTATGGTTTGGCTTTTCACTCGATGGTCAACAAGGTCAACAAAAATTAAGAATGATGAGTGTTGTTAGAAGAAAAGAAAATGAAGAATAGAAGGAATTCGATTATTAGATGTAAAGCCATGCAATTCAAGAATATGATCGACGAACTAAGGTGAGATTTTGACACTGTAAAGGAAATTAATTCCAGGTGACTTATGATAGAAACGATGTGAACAGGTGATGTTGTTTTCATCCATTCTTGACTTGTCTCCTCAATAATTTTATCCTTTTTTTCCGACAATTAAGCATAATTAAAAATTCCTTCTAAAGCTTTCTCATCCATAATAATTTTAAATCATCATTTCATCGGTCATTATCAAAGTATTCTTCAAAAAATTAATCTTTCAATAAATGCGGATTATCTGCAATTATCGAAAATTCATTATGAAACAAATTTTTTCTCTATTTTTATCTAATAAAAATTATAATTATCCATAGAGTTATTTCCATACTCATATTTGTAAACTATAGCGAATTTAATGGCCAAATGTGAATTTTGATGAATATTTCCTTAATCGACCTTTCAATTTTTACTCTCATTATAAAATTTTTTAAATTTCAATGTGCATTTTTGCATATTTTAAATATTTCATCAAGGAAATAGAAAAATTAGGGATTATAATATTAGATAATTTTATTTCATGGATAAAACACTTCACTTCTTCATTTATTTTTATAAGAAATACCAGTTGAAAATCTCGTTTTAATTTCTACAAAAAATCAATTTTATCCCATACAATTTTTTTTGAAAACTTTCTCATCGTTCGCTTCGAATTATATATTTTAATAAATACTGAAATCAGGCGAATTTCTTGAAAGAAATTGACATGTATAATAATTTTACATAAACTAATTTTTTTTCTGTTATAAGCTCTTGCAATTATCATTAGCTGTGCTCGGCTCGGCTGGCTTGACGAACTAGACAGATATGTCGAGGAGCCCCTTGGCGATAGAACTATACAGGTGATTGGCCATCATCAATTGCATTTTTGGAATCTAATGGAAATTTTATTCTATTTAGCTTCAGTTCAATATCGAAATCTCCATATAAAGCATGTAAGATCGCTTCATCTATTTCTAAACTAAATGAAAACTATAATTGTTAAAATTTGATGAACTAAAATACGCAACTAAAATGAACAGTAATTCTAATAGTTTAAAAATGCCAAAAATTTTATGAATATCTAAGTGAAATTTGCTTGCCAACTGAATTCTTGTACATTTTCTGATAGCGCTTGCATTGTTTTTCGTTCGACTGGTTGTACTGATTTTTTTGACGATATTCCCTCAGGCGAAGGGAGATCATAATATTCACTTAATATTTACTGAGCCTAAATCGTTCTCACGTGGCATTTCTTGAACATAAAAAAAACGTTTCTGATAATTTCATTTTGTAGAACAAAAATGAATCATATCGAATATATTGCAAGTTGAATAAATGTAATGCGAATATATTATACTTAATAAATCGAAGAATAGGCAGATAAGCGCTGATAAATGTTTGATATGACATATAAGCTGCTGATAAATTTATGAAAATCTACTATTTTTTATTTTTGAACTGCTTTTATTCATTATATTTTTTTCTTGAATACAATGCATTACTTAATATTCCAACTTCTTCTATAGCTTCTAGAACTATATCCAACATTTCTTTTGTATGAGAAGCACTTAAGCAAATTCGTACGCGACTTTCTGCCATATCTGTCGCAGGAGCAGATACCACAACAGCTCCAACATGCCTTTTCAACATCTCGCGCCCCCACAACCTTAAGTATTGGTCTAATTAATTTAGCTTCAGGATAAGATTAATAATTTTCGACAAATCTTTCAAAAAAGAAAAGAGATAATTTAAAAGCAAACGCACCCGCATTTTGTGGGATAATATATCATAATTGGAACAACCGGACTATCATCTGATCCATACACGATGAAACCCATTTGTTTTAGGCGTTTTCGAAAATAACGGGTATTCATAACCAAACTCCTTCTTCGTTTTTCACCTGCATAATTACATAATTATAAAGCAATCGTTATTTAAACAGAAAAGACGAAAGCTAACGTTTTCAAGTCAAATAAATAGTAGTTCTTTGGCTCTCTGGCAGAAAGAACGCAAACGAAACCAATGTGTATTTTCCAACATTTTAATTAAAAACTGTGAAAAAAATTCTTGCCATCGTTTGTTCCATCGAGTCCCATCATTATTGATAACGATGAATAAATCTGTTTAGCAACTGGCGGTGACATTGGTGATGAATAGGTACCAGCTGGTGAATTTACTCGTATATAATCTATCGTGCGCTAAATATGTGCGGCTTTTTTATATGATTATTTATATAGTAAGTTAGTTTCATAATGAATGAAAATATGTTACACGACTATATCCATCTATCTTGAAAATTTATTACTGTTAAACACAAAGTCAAAAGACTCATTGTTCATTTTCATTATAATTTGTTGCTTTATCCAATATTTTTTCCTATCAGCCGTCACTATAACGCGTTCCCTTGTTTCTGACGTGGGCGTTTTACCTTAAAATATAGACAAACATACCTTTCTTCCTGCAATATATCCTCCTGCAGATCCAAAACTTTTTGTGAAAGTACCCATTAAAATATCCACATCATTAGGGTCACATTCCCAATAATTGACTATGCCACTTCCATCTGCTCCCATTGCACCTAAAAAATTTTGAACGACAGTTTGCATAAAATGATCGCTTATCAGTTTTGCTTTTTGATTGATATTATTTCAGAAATATTTCCATCATCCATGCTAACCAGTCCTAATCGGCTCGAATCTCTCGCACATTCAAGTAGCATGTCTTTTTAGATAATTTAATAACAACGCAATACGTCCTAAAATTACATGTTCAGCATATAATTTTATAGCAAAATATAACATGTAGAATATAAAGAATAAAAAAACCCAACCAATCGAATGGGCTTCGTCGAGATAGAGATAGGCATTATATTTTTTTTTCAACGCTATAATAGCAGGTAAATCGCATATAGATCCTTCCATAGAATATATTCCCTCAATAATTATTATAATTTTCTTGAATGGTTTATAAGTTCTTGAATTGCCATAGACAATCGATTCGCGCAATATTCGTTCAAGATCAACGACATCTATAAAATTAATCAAGGTGACAATAAATTTGACAAAAAATCGATCTCAACCTATTTTTAAATAATATTGCTGAAGAAAACATTATTACTCACTTACTACATCCTCTCATTCAGAAAGGCCCAATAGGCCTATGTGTGATATATTTTCAATCATTTCGTTAACTTAACAATTTAAAATCGTCTTTTTTTGATGATATAAGCATATAAACAAGACAAAATTTATAAATATTAGATAATAAATGAATGAACCATTATGCTTAAATATTCGCACTGTTGCACCCGACATGCGACAACCAAGAATCAAGGATGCATGATTGTATTGGTCACTAAGTATTAAAGAATCCTGTAAATCGAGTAAATGCAATTTCTTTCACATTACAAAAAAATTTATTTATAATATTAGGGAGAGATTTTACCTCATTTCTTAAAAATTATGGATGGAATTGTTTGTAGGTGAAACTTAACGATTGTATTCAACCCTTTCGCTGTCTAGCAATGAATTAATCTTGATTTCAAAATCTCTGAATTTCAAAATCAAGCATTACACATCGAAAAGCCAGAAACTCTTTTATTTCGCAACACAATGTGTGATAAATAATTTAAATAAAAAATTCTTATTTTTATTTATTCATTTATTTATAGAAGCCATGCGTTGGTGTTGAAATAAGACAAAACAAAAAAGAGATTTGTCAGAAAAAAAGATAAATAAAGTCAATAATTGTAAAATAAGATATAGTACCAATAAACAGAAATCTAAATTTTATGAATATTGTTGAATAGAAAATTTAGTCCCAAAATGAATTGGCTCCCATGGAAGGACATTTTCCCTTCACTTCTTGTTATAGTTGAAATTAAAATAAAACTAAAAAATTAGTTGCAATTCAAGTTATACAAGATTTCATAAATCATAACTGCTGATAACATAGTTATCCAACTGCATTATCTTAGCCTCCTTGGAAACCCGTCAAAACCTCTCTGAAATTTTTTCAGAATCTGTTGTAACCCATAAGCCCAAAATTCGCTTAATTTTTTTTAACATCCCATCATACCTCGCTATATTTTTTGGTAAAGTTCAACATTAAACTCTAACACTCTGGTGAATCACGTTGACTTTTCCAGAATCACAAAAGCTTGATAAAATTGTTGTCTGCCCAAGTAGTCAAAAATTTTAATCGAAATTGCCATTACATGCACTAGAATATTTATATTTTTACTTTTTAACCCATATGTGAAACATTCTCCCAATTTCGACAATTAAAAATAACATAAATAATGAAAAAAAAGAACCTTATTAGCGAGACAAGAAATGTTTACAGAATTGGTAGCAAATCCCATACTAAAACAAATGGCATCTTCTACCTTGAGAAATTTAGCGAGAAGTTTTTCTAATTCCCATTGGGTCTTTGAATATCCTATAATCAGCGCAAAAAGATGTAATATTAAATTTCTCATGAATAACATTTCAAAATAAAAGATATTAAATATTTCAAAAAAAAGAAATGTATTTAGCAGATAAGAAAAGAAATAAGAAAACCTTGCTCATGAATAACGGTACAATTTGAAATTCCTTCCTCATCAATGGCAGTAGCAGCTGCACTAGCGCATGGGCCAGTATTTTCTGCAAAACCAAGGTAATTGTAAGAGCCAACATTGATTACTTCAGTCGTGGTACCTGTGTAACTGAAAAATTACATTATGCTAATAACGTATATAATTAATTATCACAATTTTCTTCTTCTTCAACTAGTTAACAGTAAAATAAACAAAAATTCAGAAATCATTAGAGGGAAACGTTTTATACTAAAGTAAAAAAATAAGACATGGAAATGTTATCTTTTCTTGAGATGTAAAAACCTTCCCTCAAAGCAAAAATTAAAAGTGAGAAAAAATATACTAATACAATATAGTACACCATTTATAGTTATACCATAAAGTGTAGTGCGATCTCTTAGCGCATCTTTCTCTAATGAATCGTGAAAATTAAGATTTATAAAAAACAATGAAGTGCACGTTGTTACATAGAGTGACAATGCAACAAATGTACGGTGGCAACCCGACAGACCACTATATACTCTAGTAATAAGTACCGAAAAGATAAATAAAAGCAATATTACCTAAATGTCCAACCAAAATTGTTAGAATAACGGTCTAAAATTTTGATACGTGCGCCTGCAGCACTACTGATTGGACGCTCAAAAATATCTCGAACACGATTATAGCAGTTACGAGCATATAATGCTTCGAATTCGGAATATAATGGAACAAAATGCTGAAAAAAAAAATTGGATTGTTGAAAATTTAATTTAAAATAAATAATCAACTGACTACATGCAATATATGTTCGTGCTTTCTTTTTTTTATCGCACAATAAACTTGTCTCATTAAATTTTTTTCGAAATTCGACCAATTGCTCGGAATGAAGAGAATTTATGCTTCTAACACCAATAAAATACATTTCTAAATATTCAAAAATTTTTCAACGGATGTTCCGCCATATTTGTTCGATAAATATTGCAATATTTAATTACAATAAATTACACCTTTTGTTTCGATATTTCTGTCGCTGCATAATTCTTTTCGATACCAATTTTTCGTAGCAATTCTCGAATATAAGCAAATATAATAATAACGAACCAAGAAAAATAAACGCAATAAGTTATAAGTATATTTACCTAAAAATTATGCAAAAATTTTATTAAATTTAAAATTATTATCGGTTTGAATTTAAATAAAAAAAGAAACAATAAAAGAAAATATAAAAAATATAATTAAAAAAATCGTAAATAAACAAAAAAAAAACTTATTTTTTCAAATTCATTCGGTTTTCGTTGTACTTTTAATCGTTTCTCAGCAATATTTTCAAACAAATCGATTTGCTCATTCTCATTCTTAAAAAATTAAAATCACCAGCAGTTAACTAATATAGATTTGCCAATTAAATTTCCAATGAATTTTAGTGAAATTTAACCAAATGAAAAGAAAGAAAAATGAAAATATATTATTTAAAATATTGTAAAAAGAATGATAAAAATTTTCAAAATTTAATAATAAATTATTTTTTAAAATTTATTAAAATTATAAATATTAAAATTATAATTATTTAATCAATTATAATCAAATTATTAAAAATTATAATTATTTAACAAATAAAATAAAATTTTTGAAATTTTAATTTAATTAGCAATAAAAATCACCTCAATGATTGCATTTTTCATATTTTTTGACTGAGAAAATATTATTCTAACCGCTTTCCAAACAATTACACTAGTTCTGCGAGAAAATATACAATAATTTAGTGCTTTTTAAAAAAGTGCAATAGTTTAATAGACCGAAGCTGATTTATAGTATACAAACTGACAAGTGCTATAGTGCTAAACTGATATATAGTAATCTATCTTTGAGGATAGTGTAGACGAGTGGATGAATAAAAGGATTGGGATCAGTTGACTGGCGGTATTTTACAGGTTAATGGCGGGGGTCTGAAGGGTAATCGCTTGGAGGACAATTTTGAATATGGCAGCTGGTTGGCTTGATCATGTTATTTTAGAGATTCTATTAGGATAGCCAAAGAAAATTGGGGCAAGTTTAAGATTTGCAAAGAATTTCGAAAGATTGACAGATGGCTTTCTATTAAGCCATCTGTGGTAGAATCCTTAATTTTAATAGTTTCTTCAATATCCTTAAAGTAAAATTAAATTATAGAGCGAAGCAGACGGTGAATAACAATTCAACGATGATAATAGGAAATTTTAGAAAAGTAAAAGCTTCAGAAAACTGATAATCACCGTTAAATTATCGGTAGGATGGGAATAAGATGGCTTAGTGGGTTGTTGCTTAATTCGGAGCGCCGACACTAAGTTTCTATTCCCAGCAATAGCAAACCTGACCAAAAATCCTGGCGATGCTGGCAACTCACCTGTATTTCTATCTCCACAGGGACTTGCTGGCATATTTGTCCAGTGCGGCAAACCAGTAATGGTGAAAACTCTTGAAAAAAAATTACCGATAAAAAAAAACTCTTAAAAAAAATTATTCTATTCTTTTTTCACTTATCAGTACTTGAAAATATTGAGGGTGCACACTTATCACTAAATGAGTCGTTAGCAAAATTTGTCTGATATAAAAGCTCTTAAAAATACCAATAATTTGATAACTAAGAAAAAGCGTCGCCTTCGCTGGCTGGTTCTCCATCTTATTCATACTTCGTTACTTGCTAAACCTTGTGCTGATGGTCGGCGTTAAAAGAAGATCTGGACTGATATAGGAAAGATTTTGAACGTATAGGGAGACGAGCGATATATGGACTTAGACGATGGAAAAACGAACAGCTTCTATAACTAGTAGCGGAGCGAGTAGCTTGGAGACGTCTTAGTCTTGTAGCCAGGTCAACCAGTAATGATTAGAAGACTAACGAACTAAATGGTATAAAAATATTTTATTTGGTAATTATAAGATTTTGGTAATATTTTGGCTATTATAAGAAATAAGAAATTTTCTTTAAATATGCAAAAAAATAGCATTGAAAAACCTAAAATTAAACTATGAAGGGGGAAAAAAATGAGATGGAATTTGCATTAATTTAATAAACGAAGCCTTTTTTGTTTTGGTACTTTTTCCAGTTATTTCTTTCAGAAAAAAAAAACTTCAATCATCTCTCCGTTTTTTCCCTCTAACATAAATATTTTTCAGTGTAAAATTATTTCTTGAGAATGGCATTGTCGCTATTTATCATATTTTTCCGATAAAAATAACAATATTGTCACAATCGCAAGGAAATTCATTAAATTCGTTCACCATAAATCGTTTGTTTATAGAAAAGATCGATAATAAAATTTTGTTTCGAGTTGATTTCAATTTAAATTTATGATAAATTTCATATATTTCCACCAAAATATATAAATTCAATCAAAAAAATTGAATATTTCAAGCTATTATTCTATTCTTTTTTCACTTATCAGTACTTGTCATGCGAATTGTTTATACGAATTGTTAATAAAAGCGAATTACTATTACCGAATTGGGAAATGAATAAATTCCAGGAAATCTTTTTCCTCCCCAATAATCATCAAAAAAAAAATGATAAGAAATTTGAAAAAAATTTGATATGTGATAACGGAAATTCATTGGAAGCTAATGGCTTATCAATTATCAATAGGGAGATAACAATTTAAATATTAAAAAAATTTTTATAGTTTTACAAATATAAAGCAAAAATTGCTAAAATTACTTCACGTTTCATCAATTTAAACATATTTTTTTTTTACAATTTTTTTTATGGTTCGAATTGATAAAAAAATTTTAATGAAAATAAAAAATTTGATGAAAAATTTATTTTCCTCTCGTTTTCATTCATTTATTCGTAAATAAATAAATAAATAAATAAGTTTAGAAAAAATTTAAACAATAAAAAGCAACAAGAATTAAACGTAAGTCATCTTTCGTGCTGTATTATTTTGATCATAAATGATAAGCGGTAAGGCTCGGTTCTCGTTTGAATCTTTGTGATGGTTGCTTTTCATTTCGCTAAAATATCTCGTTTTTAATTTTTTTTTTTTTTTTTTTTAAAGAGTATTCACCACTTACTTATCGGTTAGACTCACTCCATTGGCTTGTTGAAGTAGGCAAATATGCCAGAGAGTCCGATACAGACGATAGAAATACAGGTGAACCAAGCAGACCGTATCAACCGGATTTTTGTATAGGTTTACTCCTGCGGCGATTAGAATCCCAGCATTGGTGCTTCGGTGAATTGAGCAATTCAATCCACTGAACTATTCTACTCTCCTTTGTTTTTCTTCTCTAGGCGATAACCCGACGAAGAATGGTGTATTAACGAAATCAAAATCTCGATTCTTGGTGGCGATTATTTTACAAGAGAGCCACCAATGCATCAATTTTTATGATTTTCGCTTATTTCGATCATCTCATTCTAAAGTCTTCTTTTATCTTGTTTTTGCGGATTGAAAGGCAAAAGGTTTGGCTTCTGTCTTCGGCAGAAATAAGTTTGTCATTGAAAAATTTCGGCTGGTGCTGGTGACTTAAGTATACTTTTATCGTTAAATGATCTATGAAAAATTTCGCACTAATAGCGTGGCGAACCAATCCAGAAATAGCGAACGCTAATTATTTAATTATACTTAAACAAATGTGGTTAATAACTTGAATATGAATATGGAACAAAATTTTATATTATCTTATAAAAAATTCAATAGTGTTATTTGATACAAATTTATAAAAAACAAAGAAAAAACTGTTCATATAACTATAAAACAAAAAAATTTGACGAAAAGTACCGTTTATTCAAAATAATTCGTGGACTACTACTGCATAATATTGCGGCTGATCCAGTACCATAGCCACTTTCATGCCCATTTTCATAGTATGTTTGATATGATTTTTCATCATCTGGCGAACTAAATATATAGAATTTTTAATGAGATTATTTAATGGATTATCACTGGAAACGATGTAATGAAATAATGAAATTGACAACATTTGTGGTTGATAATTTTATCGCTTTTCTTTAACTATGATTTATTTAATAAATGATAGATAAACATAAAAAAAAAAATTTAAAAAAAGCCACAAATTATCACTTAGGACTCCTATTGATATTTTCAAGTTCATTCTCTGTAGAATCATTTGAAAAATTTGATTCAAACGAAGATAATGTAACAGGTTTTTGTTGTTGTTGTTGTGGTGGTGGTGGTGGACGACAATTTGGAGGTGGTTTCCTATTTAATGGAGCTATATCGCTTATTGATGTCATCTAAAAAAAAAAATGACAAATTTTGGATATAAATTGAAAATTTTTGGATTTTTAATAACTGATAATGATCAATCATCGGCGTTGAGAGATCTCTTATCATTATGAACACCATTCATGATAATTTTATGATCTTCTAATTTATTTTATCAAATTAGATCAATTAATCAATTCATTTATTATATGTGTCAATTAGTCATCACATTTAATTTTTATCACTCATAAATAAATTACCCTTTGATTCATTCCGCTTGGCACTATTAATTCATATCTTTTTAACGAATCTTCACCATTAGGTTTTCTCATTGAATAATATGATTCGCTATTCATTTGTGCCATTCTGCATTGCATTACGTGGTTCCTCGATGGATTAATTATGATATTCGCTCTTTCTTTTTTTGGCAAATTTCTGCAAAATTTGTTTCACTTTTACGAATAAATGCATATAAATAAATGAAAAATTTCGATCACAAAACAAATTGCAATAAATTATCAAAAAATTAAGTAATTAATATAAATCGCTTTTAACATATAATCATAGGCTTAGGTTGCACTTGCTTATCGTTATTCTTATCAGTATTTTTATCATTGTAATTGAGATTACTAACCTTGATAAAATAATTTGATCGATATGATTTATTGAAATCATTTCGTTTGAATTGCAATTATTTAAATTTTTTGATGAATTATATGTAGAATATTGTTGAGGATTTATAATATCATTAGATAATTTTTTATTTATTCGTAATGAAGATAAGTTTTTCGATCTAAAATTTGATTCATTCTTTAAAACTACTGAAAAGAGTTTATCCAATGGTTGAGGAGAGTTATCCTGAAACTTTCATACAATTCTTAATATATCCTCATTAACCATTGTTTTCCCTCAAAAAACCATTAAAATCTGCCTTTTATAAATTTCAACTAATTCCAACTACAGTTGTGAAAAAAAGTGCATTGCGAAGTTGTGATGAAATATTAAAGGAATAAAATGACGTTGGTTAAGTCAGATGTAACAAAAAAAAAGAGGTGGTACTAAGCTGGTTTCAGATTAAAGCGGCGGAAAGAGGTTTAAAGTAATGTAATTAATGAAGGCATACTTATTTCAGATGAATTCGGCGAGTTTTTAAGGTGTTTAGTTCGGCTTAGGCATTAAGAGATATTAAGGGATCATCAGTGTTTCGTGTTAAGATTTTGCAATCAAAATGATGCTTTTTTAAGTTGAACTCGATTCAATCTATCATAATTTGCGATGAGACCATAGCGAGATTAAGATGGTCCTAGGAAGTAAGGAAGTGATAACAGTTAAACAAAAAAAGATTGCAGTTTTGAAATGATCTTAACGAGGATTGAAGGAGTTTTTGGAGACATGACGGTAGCACGTATAAATTATGAATAGCTTGTCAAGGAAGTAAAGTGTCGAAGAAATTTAGATTCTATAAGAAGTGGGTTTAAGATATTGCAAAATATATGACAAAATAGTGTTGCAATGTCTAATGAAGTATTAATTAGGCTTCGAGCAATACTAATGAGATATAAAATATTCCGAGATATATTTTATAGAGGAATGTGAATGGTTTAAAGAAAAATATCGAATTGATAAAAAAATTATCATTAAAAGAAAGACAATTATAAATCCCAAAAATGAAGTGTCTGAAAAAAAAATGGTTAATGAGAATTTTCGCTACCAAATGAGTGGTTGTCTTATCATGATTTTTTCATTTGGACAAAGAAAAATTTTGAATTTAATCAGTCCACACGGCTAATTCTTTTAGCGATAAAAATTCTAAAATTTTGCTTTTTTGATTGTATGAATGCATGCCGTACGATTCATGAATGCATGCTATATGATTTTTTATAAAATTTTTTATAATATTTATTTGAAAAACCTATGAATTTTAAAAAATCAAAAAATTTAAAAAAAACAATTCAACAATTTAGAAAAAAACTACATTTAACTTTTTTTGAATTTTGCTTAATATTTCCCTTACAAAATTACTAAAAAAATTCATTTTTATTTTCTCAAATATTTTTTATATTAAAAAATTCCATATTAAATATTTTATTAAAACATTTTTTTTTCGTCAATTATAACAAAAAAATTTTAAATAGTAAATAACTGTATTAGATAAAATCAATTTCAATAAATTTCTTAAAAAATCGATTATCATTTAAATTTATTGTTAATTTGCACGATATTCATGAATAATATCGTAATTTCGACTAAATGATCTTAATTTTTCGCTCATTTTTTCACGCTTTCACAATGATTATCGCTATAATGACGAACAAAAAATGAAAAATTGAGAAATGGAATAGACTAAATAAAGATAAATAATTAATACATATATATATATATATATATAAATTCACAATGAAATATAATAAAAAACCCTTTCTCATCCACTGTAAGTGGTGTGGATCATCTTCAACCTTGATTCTTCTATCAAAGGCTTGGAGGCTTGAGGGTTTTGCAAAGGATTTTAGCTTTTCTTAATATTCCGAACAGAAATCTCTGGTGTTTTTCCTGAAATCTGCTTGAAACACTTTTCAATTTAGGGTTATTCTGCAACCATTTGGTCCATTTTGTCTTCATTTTCCACATCTTCTTTAGCACCTGTTTCATCTCCTAGAATTCCTCTAGCTTCTCATTTGGTATTGCTATATTTATCATCAATTCTGGTTTCTAGCTCTATCATTCTATTTACGATATCTGATTGACTGAGTGCCAGTAAATGAGTGTCTCTCTGGATGAGGAAGTCTCCTTAGCCGTGCTTAAATCTAAATACCCGCTTAAATTCCATAGTCTACAAGAGAGCAAGTGGAAGGAACTGCGACGCTAATAGCTATTATCCGTGGATTCAGATTTTTACGATTTTTTGCATCTGGTCGAGAAAAAAGTGCTTGAATATATGTGCTTAAGAATGAAAGGGATTTGACGAATAATAAACAGATTTTGAAGAGCACTATAGGAATACAAATAAGCAAAACTGTTGCTAAAAGGATTTTAAGGTAGCGCAAAAGTTTTATAGATGCTAAAAGAATCAGAAGGACTGCAAATTATTACATAGAATGTTACTACTACCTAAAATGATTTTCATTCATTACTATACCAAAAATGTCGTAGAACTTAGGAGAATTTCTTGAGAGAATTCACCATCATTAACAATATTGTTAAAATGCCATCATAGCCATAAACCAGTTATGCCAGTAAAGCTTTTCTATTTTAATTAGGTATAGAATGGCTTAGTGGGTTTTTGCTCAGTTCAAAGCGCCTGTGCTGAGGTCCTATTCCTTACAGGAATAAACCTATCCAAAAATTACTATCCAAAAATCGGGGTGATGCTGGTGACTCACCTGTAATTCTATCGCCAAGGGATTCTCTAGCACATCTGTCTAATGCGATAAGTCAGTGAAGCGAGTTTAACCAGTAATGTTGAGTCTTAAAAAAAAATTTTAATTAGATACGGCTAAAATTTATAATTCGTCTCATGTTATTATTTAATTAAGTTGATAAAATGGGAAGAGAATGATGATAAGAAGAATGACAACTGATATAAAAAATCGTTCTCCCTAGGGCATAAAATTGCTTTGATATATGCGGTAGCTTCACTTTCGTTAAGAAGCCTACTTTAAGATTAATTTCTTTTTAGAATCTATATTGGTACAGCTGCATCATCGAAAACGACCTTTTCCCTCTAATACTCACGCAATCTTAAAATTTGTCGCTTTTGAACATTATTATAAACAATTCAATTAATATATTTATGTATTATTATTTATTTGCAATTAATTTATAATAAAACCATTATCTATAAAAAAAAATTTAATTATGAAGAAATTTTTAATAAACTATTATTAAATAATTTCACCACTATTATTAAGTTTTTCGAAAATTATGCTATAATTGGAAGAGCCTCAGAGTTTCTCACTAAGAATAAATGTATGCACCACCTCGAGAGGATCGATTTATGAGAGCAAAGCCAGTGTTGCTTGAGGAAAGGATTAAAAGCTATTGCCTCAGGGAAGCTTAATGAGCAATGCAGTTTATTAAATCATATATTTATTTATTCGTTCGTTGAAATGTCTATAACTATATTCAAACAAAGAACACTTTGATTTGATAAATTTTTAACTATATAATTCGATTTGTTCACATCTGGAAATCGACAATTTTCACCGGTTTTTCTTTCAAGTTTTTACATATGGCTTTTACATAGATATTTATTTATTTTATAACTATTAATAATATAATAATAAAAATAAACTCGTACATAAACCTTGAATATTCCCCTAAAACTCCCATCCTTTCATATCCTTTTGAATCATCTTATAACCTTCTTCATCGCCAAATTACTTTTATTATTCTCTTCGATCCTCACATCTTCTATATTTTCTCCAATTTCCGCTATGCTCACCTTTATAATTCCGCATTTCCTCGTCAGTGTCATTTTTCCCTTTGCGATTTTATAATTGTAGCTCCATAAAAATGTAAGATGAGTTTTGACGAGCAAGGCATTAGAGAACTACGATTTTTTCTGAGGGAATTAAAATGATAGAAAAGTTATCACGAAAAGGAATATGATAGAAAGCTATAGAATGAATACAGTTTTGCGATACTGTGAGGTGTTTTATTTAATAGGCTTAACAAGATTTTCCATAAGATCCGACAAATTGTGAAGAGATATAAAAGAGTTTCACGTTAAAGAGTCGAGATTTACGAGTTTGAGACAATTTTATTCTATTTTTTTCCGATACATTAATTAATGAATCTTATTACAATATATTGATGACAGAATATGTCTTCAAAATACTATGCTTATATGAATGATGATGGATCATATTTAATGATTGATTAGCGGTCAGTTTATCGAATGGTCAATAAAATAAAATCTGTCGCAAATGGTCTTTTGGTCGATAAGTTTTAGTTATCGATAAAAGATTGATTTCTTATCAGACAATTTAAAATTGTTGTGAAAATAAAATATCTTTTTTTGATTCTATATAAGATTAAAATGAGAAACTTAAAAACTTATTTCAAAGAATTTCTGAAGAAAAAGAAAAAAATAAAGAATTAAGAAGATCGATGAATAAAGTAAAATGAATTGCAAGGAAATTTGTGGAAAGATGAATTGAAAAATATTAAAAAATAAAACATTAAAATATTAATAAAAATTTATAAAAATTAAAAAAATATTAAAATATTAAAAAAATAAATATAAAATAAAATATTCGCCTTCTTCAATATTTCTAAAATGAATTCTTCTTTAAAATATATTTGAACAAACAAAAATTTAAAAAATATAAAACATTAAAAAAATAAAAATAAAATAAAATATTCGTCTTTTTCAATATTTCTAAAATGTTAAAATATATTTAAACAAACCTTCGTATCCTGAGAATATTTATGATAATAATTACAACTATAACAATAAAAATTACAAAAATACCAACAATTGCTGTAAATAAGTATGGAAAATAATCAAAAATTTGATTATTTGGCACATATGGAACTGAAGAATTTATCGATAATTTATTGCCATCGCATTCATTAATCTAAAAAAAATTTTTTTCATTTCATTACTGATTTTATTTCAAAATTTCATTACTGAAAAAAATCTTTTATCATTTTTTAAATGAATTTCTTATTATAATAAAATTTGCGCAAAAATTTGATTTAAAAGGAAAAAAAACCTTTTCTAAATTATCAATTGGTTCATTGGATATGAAATGCCATATAAGTGATGGATCCGGTGGTGGTGAAAGTAGTTCGATATTTGGTGGTGGTGGAATACATTCACACAGCTTCATTATACCACATTTTATTCAGTCTCCATCATCTAAAGAATTTTGTGAATTTTAAAAGCTTAACAGTGAACAATAATCGCAATTACCATAAGCAAATTTAGTTATATATCTAATTATAATTCGATGATATGCAATAGATATCGTAGATATTAAAGGTCGCATTACGTAGTATGAGACCTGCGTTTTTTTTTTAAGAGCCCTCACCATTACTGGTTAAATTCGCTCCGTTGGCTTGTCGCACTGGACAAATATGACAGGGAGGTCTCTTGACGATACAAGTACCGTCAGCAGCAACAGCCGGGTAGATTTACTTCGCCGGGAGTAAAATCTCAGCATTAGCACTTCAAATCGATCAACAATCCATTGAACCATCCTGTTTCTTAGTTACTGATATTTGATATGATTAATAAATTATTAAATTATTGTATTAAAATCAAAAATAAATTGCAAAACAAAAAGATGAACTGCAAATTTGGATTATTTACCTATTTCAATTTGACGTAATTTAATATTTACAAAATTACACAATTTTTGTTTTAAAAATTTTGCATCCAAAGAAAAAAAACGTAAAAAACGAAAATTTTAATAAATAAAAAAATAAAAAAATACTCGATTAATTTTTGGTGGAATTTATAAAATTAAAATTGGCTAATAGATAAATCATTCTGAAAAATTATGTAATTTATTTGAATTATTCATTATAAAGTTGGATTAATTTGCTATCTATGAAACTATAAATTATCGGAAAGTGAATTATTATTGTGGAATATGAATTTTTAGGAATGAGATGATGAAGAAGACGACGACGAAAGCAATGATGCATAACTGCCACTAACGAACTATATATATACATATATACCATATAATAAATAATAGAATAAAATGCCGTTAGGATGGGCTGATTTTAAATTTACTAGCAAAGAGTTCATCAAATCAGAGCACACATGTTTGTCGATAATAAAATTTGTCATCTTTAAGCTAAAATTATTTGTTCATTCTTATAGCGTAAATAATTTATCGAAATACAATTATATAGAATTGAAAAAATTTTAGAATTATTTTAAATTTTAGAATTTTATTTATACTAAATGATAGTAAAAAATCAGAATTTACGATGAATTTTTCCTATACAATCTTTAAATTAAAATGCGACACATTTAATCAAAAAATTTTATGTTCACTTTATTGGAAAATATCAGAAAATTAAGAAAGTGTTGATAATGATAAAGCGATAACAAATGCATAATTCAGAATATGAATTGATAAAATATTTATCGTAAATAATACAAGGATAATGGATTAAAATGCATTTATAAGAAAAAGTTGTTGATTAGCTGGTCAGAATGTCGAAATAGAATTGCTTTAAGGCAAAAATGATTTATTGGGGCTGGTCTCTTCCCTTTCCTCAGCTCTGCCAAATGTTGCTTATAATTCAAAAGATTCAATAAAAATCGAATGTTATCATCAAAAGTCACTGCAATTGGATTCATGTTCATTGTATATACTTAAAATATTTAAAAGAAGTGAATATATAATTCATTTTTCAAGTGGATATATTCTTTTTCACTTTTCACTTATATGCTTTATTCAACAAAGAAGATGTTATATTTTGGTTCGAATGAACGAATGAATGAATACCGCAATGAGAATGGTGCATTTCACGTTTGTGTCTATTGTCCTGGCGTTGTCACTACTTACTTAGTTTTTGTGTAAAATAAGATTTTTTGAAACTAAGGGCGAAAAAAAATTTCATTTGAGTAGTTCTTCTACAATTAATCATATAATCTCGATAAAACTAAGATATACAAGTTTTAGACAAAAATTTGCAATTTATAGCCTGTGATAATCGATAAACAGCTAAAAATATTCCCTCCGGTACAATCTTCTTCTTGTAACAGTCATGATTTGCGGTAATGATAATGTTTGTATTCCAATGATAACAATCTTTCAGGTAAGATTGATGATGGTGAAGAGTAATTTAATTACCCTTAATAACTGAAATAAAAATCCAGTCCAGAATAATAAATACTAATTAAGGAACGATAATTATCAAAGATGAAAAGCTTATTAAAACAGATGTTTTATGGTAAAAGAAGAATTCAAAAATTTTTTTTTTGTTTATAGTCTCTTTTATTTATTAAGAATTATTATAAATTTTTTATTTATTTATATCTATTTTTTATTTATATTTATTAATTATTTATTTCAATTTATAATTTATTTCAATAATTATTTATTTATTATTATTTATTTCAATAATTATTTTTCATTACAAATTTTGCAAAAAAATTAGAATATAATATTGTAAAATAACCATTAAAAAATCATTCTATTATTATCATTATTATTATATTTAGAATTTTTAGCATAAATTAAGTTATATTTAACTTAAATTTTCAAATAAATTAGATTTTAGTTGCCAAAAAAATTTCGGCATTTATTTAGTTAATATTCGATGAAAATTTTTTTTGAACCGTTTTAATTCCACACAATAAATAGGTTATTTCGTGATTTAACGATGAATCTTTTGAATTTAAAGAATTTTTTTTTTTTTTTATCAATTTCATTAAATTTTATAAAAAATGAAAAAAATTTGAATTTGAAACGACAATTGCAAATATCGTAATAGTTGATTGAATCTATCTTTTCGTTCGGTTTTCGATAAATAAAGCAAATCGATGAATGAACAAATGTCTTATGTTTTACATCTTTTTTAAATGTTTTTTTAAAATTATAACATCAACGCCAACGGGGCATTAAAAATTATTTTTATTTTTTAAATTTTAAAAATATAATCTTCGATAAAAATATGAATATTTTAAATAAGAGACAATAGTTATTGCTAAGTGATTAAAACGTTAAAGGCATAATAACTAAATGAAATGACCTAAAAATATGTTCGTATATGTGATGATACTACGCAAATAGAAATAGAAATATCACATTAAAAATGTTACAACAAAATGGCAAAAATGTAATTTTCATTATAAAAGCATCTTTCTTATATATTTTAAATACAATTCATTTGAAATTCATTTTGTGGTTCTTCTTTTTTTCTGAAAAAAGATTCCCTATGATTTCTCATTTCATTCATTACATACTAAATGCTAGAATGAACCTCTTTCATTAAAGGAGTTCCATTGGAGAAAGATACTTGGAATCTCGACATTCATCTCGATTTCGAGTTTTTTGATTACATTAAAGAAGGACTGGAATTAGATCAATTTAGCTTGCCGCCAGATGAAGGACACACTTAGCCGCCACTAAGTATTCGATAATTTTTTGCGATAAAAGTAGATATTCGTTGTTCATTTGCTTAAAACATAAATTTTCGTACGCATTTTCATTGTTATGAAAATGGAGAAAATTATAATATAACGAATATTTCTATTTCTGAAAAAATTTTAATTTTTCCTTGTCTTTAAAGTTTTATCTTTATTACTGTTATGGCAATATGAAACAAATTTAATTTTAAAAAATTCATAAAGAATATTTATATTTGCAGTTGAAAATCGACGTAAAAAAAATGACTTTATTCTTTCAAAAAACTTAATTTAATCTAATATATAACTTAATTATATTTAATTTAATATGATAAGCAATACTATAAATAACAAAAAGGCTAGCGAATTTGACCGATTCAGGTCAAAGTATAATAACATTGATAATAATTATTGATAATAAATAATAATATAATAATAAACGAATAAAATCATAAAGTCAATAAAACAGGCCGAAAATCTGAACTGAAAACAGTATAACAAAATAAATCTATTGTAATCCTTTATTTATATATTACTCATCTTAATAAAGAACCAAATTTTTGAATTCTTGAATTCCTAATTTTTAAGGCGAATAAATAATTAAATAATTTATCATATAATGAATATTTTCATAATAAATATTATTCGTTCTCGATATCATTTCAATATATTTAATTGGTAACTTATAATTATCTGATAAGTGCAAAATATATGAAAGGAGCGGTTTATTTAAAGAGAAATCTTTCTATTGTTTGACCTTCATAAAAAGAGTTCAAGCGACCTTCTTAACTATATAATATGAATGTATGTATATATTCAAAATAAATATGTATCTACATTCATATACAACCTTAAAGGTAATGAAAACTTTATTATGATAATCGTTTATAAAGATTTGATCCGATCAAATAAATATATAAGAAATTTAAGAAAATATCCATTAAATCGGTATTTTATGATTATCATATATAATAATGATTGCAGCGAAAAACAATTCAGAAGTGATTTTGCATTAATAAAAATGGTATAATGATGTAAAAGAAAAAAAGAAATGATCAGAATTTGGCCGACTAACCGAGAAAAATTGTGTTTTTATAGCAGTGGTGATAATAATGATAACAGTGATAATAATGCTTATAAAATCTCTTTCATAGTATTTAATTATTTTGCATTATTATGTCGATTTTTATCATTTATAGTTAAAAAAAATTTAATCTACAAGTAAAATAATCGGAAATATTAATAAAAATGGAAATAGATTTTTGAACAAGTATGGCTTTAATAGTGAAATTTTTCTAAATTAAATAATTTCGACAATTTTATTCAAAAATACTTTTAAAAAGTCAATGATAACTAAATAAACAGTTCCATGCCACAAATAATCATAAAAAAATAAATAAATAATGAGATTATAAGAAGGACAATGAATGCTGCCAAATGCTTCATGCTTTATAAACACTCGCGTGATTAAGGTCATTTGTCAATCATCAAGCTATAATTTTATTAGCTCATCACCAATCCAATCGTCATAAATGATTATCAAAATCAAAATACAAATTTGATAAATATTAATCAAATAGTTTTATCACAATTCTATCAGATGTTAAAAAAAGTCTTATGAGAAGAATTATTTTGCAAATTTTAAAATTCGCAAAATTAAAAATCTTAAAATAAAAATAAAGGCATTTGGCGTAATTAATGCATTGTATCGGTAATATTTAATCCAATTTCTTCAGATCC